GTTAAAATAAGAGCGCTTTAATACTGTAATCAATAAAGAATGATCAAAAGTAAACAGAATAAAAATGGCAAAAAACCATAAGAAATGAAGTCACACTATTTAAAAGAAATGCTAGCAATAATATTTTCAGTTCAAGAAATAAACATCTAAGTTGCAATATATTCAACTTAATTGTAGAGATATTAATTCAATATTTTTGAAATGCAGATCAGTCTTAATTTTCCATTGTTGAGCTTTTTTTAAATTTATGGAAGGTGACAACAGCAGGTGTTTAGTAACAAAGGAGACAGTATTAGGCAGTTCATGTTGAATCTCATTTCCAATGTCTTTGTTTATCTCAGTTATCTTTGATTTTTTTTTTGAGATGAAATTTATAACGTCTAGTACTTCAGTGGTCTTGTATAGTATTTAAAGTTTTGGCAAAGATCTGTAGCTCGGGTTGTTGATGAGGTTGTTGACTTGCTCGCCGAGCTGGCTTGTTTTCGGTCAGACATTTCCTCACCACGCTAAATGACATCATCAGTGCAGCCTCCGATGAAGCAATGTTATTCTACTCCGCTTGGAATTTATACTGTCCGGTTTATTATGGTGAGTACTGTCACTTCCGGTTTTGATCTGTATGGGTTTGTATATGAGGTCCAATTCTATATGTTTGTTGATTGAAGTATGGATGGAGAGCCATGCCTCTAGAAATTCCTAGGAATAGACATGCATGGGAATTCCTAGAGGCATGATTCTCCACCCATACTTCAATTAACAAACATATAGAATTGGACCTCATATACAAACTCATACAGATCAATTCCTAGGAATAGACATGCATGGGAATTCCTAGAGGCATGGTTCTCCACCCATACTTCAATTAACAAACATATAGAATTGGACCTCATATACAAACTCATACAGATCAAAACCGGAAGTGACAGTACTCACCATAATAAACCGGACAGTATAAATTCCAAGCGGAGTAGAATAACATTGCTTCATCGGAGGCTGCACTGATGATGTCACCTAGCGTGGTGATGAAATATCTGAACAAAAACAAGCCAGCTCGGCAAGCAAGTCAACAACCTTGTATAGCATTACTTGATTCTCAATCAAAACAAAGTTTGAAAGCTAGAAGTTTGTAAATCTTCAATAGTGCTTGAACCTTCAGAGTATAAAATATTATTTTAATGATTTGCAAAATGAATCCCAATTTAAACAAAAGCAGTGCTACTTTATAGCAATTTTGAAAGAGACGTAATTTGTTTTTTGTTTTTTAAACCAAAGGTGACCACCAAATATCAAAGCAAATAGAAAATAATGTCATCGTCCTATGAACAGAAGATGTAGGTATTTACTACATAGAATCATACAGCATGGAAAAATGCTCTTCAGCCCATTGTATATGTGCTGGTCATCAAGGACCTATCTAATCTAATTTCATTTTCCAACACTTGGCCTGAAGCCTTGCATACTATGATGTTTCAGGTGTTCATCTAAATACTCCTTAAATGTTGTGATAGTTCCTGCCTCTATCACCCTTTCAGGCGGTGAGTTCCAGATATCCACCACTGTCTGAGGGGAAAAATAAAATTTTCCTTAAATCTCTCTGAACCTCCTGCATCTTATGCCCCCTGGTTATTGATCTTTGAAGTAAGGGGAAAAGTTTCTTCCTATCTACCTACTAATGCTTAATTCAGGTCACCTTTCAGCCATCTCTGTTCCAAGGAAAACTACTCCAGCTTATCTATCTCTCTTTATGGCTGAAATGTTCCAGACAATATCCCGATAAATCTCTTCTGCTCCCTTTCTAAAGCAATCACATCCTTCCTATAGTATGGTGAGCAGAACAGCAGACATTATTCTAGCTGTGGCCTAAATAACATCTTATATGGCTCCATCATAACCTCCTTATTCTTACTGAAATAATAAAGGCAAGTATCCCATTCACTACCTCAGCCACCTTTATCCACCTGTTTTATTGCCTTCAAGGATCTGTCTACATTCACACCAAGATTCCTCTGATCCTATGTACGTCCTAGGGTCTTGCCATTCATCGTGTATTTCTTTGTCTTATTAGTCGTCCCAAAATGTATTGCCTCAGACTTTTCCAAGTGAAATTCCATTTGCCATTGTTCTGTCCATCTGGCTAGCCTTTTATTTCATCTTCTGGTGTAAGGCTTTCCTCTTTGCGATTTACTACACCACCAATTTTTATGTCAATTGCAAAGTTAATGATCAAATTTCCTACACTTGTGTCCAGATCATTAATGTATCCTGAAAACAGCAAAGGATCCAGCATCAAGCCCTTCAGTGGATATTGGATACAGGTTTCCAGTCACAAAAAGAATCTTCTGCCATCACCCTCTGCATCCTGACACTAAGTCAGTTTTGGATACTCTTTTCCAAATTGTCTTGGATTCCCATGGACTCTTATCATCTTGACAAGTCTCCCATGTGACATCCCGTTGAAAGTCTCACTGAAATCCATGTGGATTACTTCAGCTGTACTACCCTTATTGACACACCTAGCCACCACCTCAAAAAAACTTAGTCAAACCTGTCAGATATGATCTCCTTCTGAAAAGTTTTGCTGATTATCCTTGATTAATCCTTGCCTTTCTGAGTGAAGATTAATTCTGTCCCTCAGAATTTTATCCAAGAGTTTTCCAACATGTTAATGATACTGACTTGTAGTTCCCTGGTTTATCCTTACTTTTGAATGATGGTACATTAGTTGTCCTTCAGGCCTTAGGCAAGATTCCTGTGATCAGACAGGATTTGAAAATTGATGCCAGGGCCCCTGTAATCTTCTCTCCTGACACTGACATTCAGGCCTGGGGCAATTTATCCAATTTTAAGCCTGCTGAAACCATGAATATCTCCTTCCTCTCAATTGTAATTTGTTCAACTATATCACTGTCCTCCTGTCTGATTTCTATGCCTACATTGTCATTCTCTGTAGTGAATACAGATGCAAATTACGAGTTTAACCTCACCTATATCTTCTGGATCCATTCACAGTTTGCCACTTTGGTCCCTAATCGGTCCTAATCTTTCTCTGCTTATTCTGTTGCCCTTAATATACTTATAAAATACCTTTAGATTTTCCTATATTTTACCCACCAGTGTTTTCTCTTGCCTCTCTTTACTTTCCTGATTTATTTTTAAAGCAACCCACTTCTTTTCTATCTTCTTTATCTATGATTATGTCAAATTGAAAATCTCAAGTCCTGTTGTTCAGTTTGCACTTAATCAAACCTGGAGCTACTTTGTCAGATTTACTTTGCTGTGTCGTAAACAAAAACACAAGATGCGTTTATTGCTGTGAATAACTCTGTTTTAAGAATGCAACGATTTGTTGAAGTTGTGTAATTTGGAGTGAAGTATGTGAAAATATGAACACTTGGATACTAAATTGTATTCTGAAGGCACACACTGCTAAGTCTTTTGTGATTCTTGGTCAAAGGACCATATCATCAGTAGTCCACAGGCTTAGCCCTTTATACGTTATTTAATAGTTTGTGGTACCCTTTGTTGGAAAATTATAAGAATTGTAATTATCAGCTGATGACAGGATACTTGTGGGCTCAGTAACGTCCAAAAGTTAAAAATAAGTTGTATTTTTGGTAGGGATTCTACAAGAGCAGCCTCTCAAGCTATATTATTTAATATTTAAAATAAAAAAACTAAATCAAACTAGCAAAATGGCAACCTTCTGTTTAGAAAACTTTGCATTATTAGATCATTTGACTTGAGCAACTTTGAACTAAACATTTGCTTGGATATTTTCCGATATGAAGCTGAGTGCTCAGTGCAGGGAAGAGTTTCTTTTCTGCTGTATTTTTTGATACTTGGTGGTGATTTTTCTAGGTTATCTTGTTCTGCTCACAAATAAAATGCTGACATATGCTGACAATCACTGTATTGACATAAAAATAATCTGGCTGAAGTATTTCTTAAAACTCTCATTTATCCTGTTATCGTATCAAGAAACATGCTATGTATAGAATTGCTGAGTATTTATCCGCACAAACAGTGGATTTATCAAAATTTTACATATTATGTTTTACATATTATGTGTTAAGGTGCCTTAGAAGTGCAGTTTTTTCCTTTTTGTGCAGTAGTTAGCCAGAGAAATTGTAAGGGGAAGGAATTTATGATATCAAATCTACTATTAAATAAGTCAATATAGTTCAAATGTGGAGATCTTTTGTCTCGGTTAGGATTGCATAAATAATTTACTCATAAATTATCCATGGTCTGTTGATGCATATGAATAATTATATGGAGTTAGCAGTGAGAATAGAGAAACTTGTTCCACAGAAATTTGACATGACAATATTGAATGAAGCCATCATAACAGGAATTAAAATTTGTGTACAGAAATTGTGTTATATATAATGATTTTCAATATAAGTGGGACTTCTTCCATTCCTCTTACTCCAATCCTCTCTTATTGCACTCAGTTATTAGAAGTAATGCTAGCAAATGCCATTGAAGGCAGAATTGACGTGAAAATTAAAGTGTCATACCTTAACTAGTAACAAAGATGGCTGAGATTTGTTGCAAAGCAGAAATCTTATCCAGAAATCGGGTGATGCATGATTTTCTTCCGCCCTTATCTGAGCCAACAGCTCTGAAATCATTCCAGTATGCTTTTCTTCATTTCATGTAACACACTGTACCAAAGAGTTTGTAATGTGTTGATATGATGGTTCCCACCCTTAACAGATTTGACTATAAATTGTGATACAATTGTGAGACTTTTATAAGTCTTTCATAGTTTTATAAAAATTGACAGTTTTTTTTAATTTTAGAAAAGTTTTCTGGATTTTACCTGACAAGCTTTGCAAGGAGCCATACAAGCAGAAATTGCTATTCATAGTATACTCTTATGGTTTGAAAGCAAGACTATTGCTTTTGTGTTGCATATATTATCTCAAAAATGAAGTTGCAAATTACTGTATGGACTTAAAAATAACAATTATATGGCTGTGTGTTTTTATGAACAGATTATCAGCGACTGATGACAGTAGCAGAAAGTATCACTACAATACTCTTCCCCTGTCAGTGGCAGCATGTGTATGTCCCTATCCTCCCTGCATCGCTCCTTCATTTTTTAGATGCTCCTGTTCCTTATTTAATGGGTTTACATTCGAATGGGCAGGATGACCGGTCCAAATTAGAGCTACCACAGGAGGTGAGTCTGTCTTAATTCACTTAATTTCAAATTTGTCTTATTTCCAGCTGTGTGGAAAAGATTGACCTGTTCTCTTTTGCTGTACCTTTTTCTTCCTGAAAAAGCTAGATACAGTAGTGTCAAGACTATTTTACTGCATGGTTAATCAAGAGGTCGCAACATTCATCTGGAGAACATTCTACTGTGGCAGACTGAAACTTTGAATTTACTACTTAACCTTGACATTAAATTCAATTGAAGAGACCATAAAGCTATTAGATTGCCATAAAATCTACTCAGTTTACTTTTAAAAATATTCTTTCATGGACTGCAAGCATCACTGTAAGGCCAGCATTAGCTGCTCATTCTTAATTACCTTTGAGCCCAGATGATGATAAGCAGAATTCTGACCTGCTGAAGTCCATCTGATGTAGCTACATTGTCTGCGCTCTTTGAAAGGAAGTTTGAGGTTTTTAACCCAACACCATTGAAGGAATGGTGATTCTAGCTCAAGACAAGATGCTGTGTGGCTTTGAGGTTAGCTTGTAGGTGGTGGTGTTCTCATGTATCTGCTGCTGTTGTCTTTCAGTGTTGCAGAGTTCAAGGGTTTGAAAGGTGCTGTCAAATGAGCCTTGATGAGCTGCTAGAATGTATGTTATGGTTTGTACCCAAGCCTGTAAATGTGTGACCAGGGTTACCTTTACAGGTCATACAGATAAAGGCAATAATGCTTATAACTTAGCTTTCTATTATCTGAATTTCGAAGAGGTGGTAAGGGAGGTTAGGCAGAGAGCTTGCGAATCTCACACTGTAGCATCAACAGCCAGATTCCTTTTCACAGAAAACACAGTCCAAAACCCAATTCAAATTTGACCATTCCCTAACAGACTTCCTTCATTAAATCTCAGTTACCATTCAATCTCTGCCATCTGCTTGAACAGAAAGTCTTTTCCAGACTTGCTGGAAACAATTCCCAGGTACTGACTTCATTCATAGCCAACTTCTATAGTCTGTGCAACATAATACTGTTCCCTAGTAATGAAGCACTTGCAGAACCTTTTGACCAGGAACCAACCTGCAATTAACCTTCAGGCCTGGCCTCATGAAGAAACAAAAACTCATTTGGCCTGTTTTCTTCTTAATACAAGCTTTTACACATAGGCCAAAGGTCACCTCTGGATCACAGTTCCCAGTTCACAGCTCCACCAAAATTGATAAAAGAATAAAATAAAAATAATGAAAAATCAATGAGGGCTCTAACACTGGTAACCACATGCTTTTGATAGGGGATTTAATGATAATGCTATTGAATGTCAAAACGATATGGTAAGATTCTCGTTTTGGAGGGAGAACCTGGAATTCATGTGGCAAAAACATTATATATCATATGTAGACACAATGGCATGGTGGTATTTTTGCTGGACTAATAATCAGTAGTTACAGATAATGTTCCATTCCTGGGATCAAATTCCACCATAGCAGATGGTAGAGTTTAGATTCAGCAAAAAAATCTGAAATTGAAAGTCCAATGATGACTGTTAAACCATTGTGAATTGTCATAAATATCCATTCCATTCACTAATCCTCTTATAGGGAAGGAAGACTGCCTACATATGACTCCAGCAAATGTGACTGTTTTTTAATCAAAATTATGAAATTGCCTGGTAAGCCATTTAGTTTTGTCCTCTGTTAAAATGCCTTAAGAAAGGAATGAAGCTGTACAGACCACCTAGCATCAACTAAGGTACTGGAATTAACAAGGGTAAATTCATCTCTGTCGACCCAGAAAAGTCCTATTTACTAATATCTGGGAAATAGTGCCAAAATTAGGAATGATATCTCACAGATTAGTTAAGCATCAGCTTCGCACCGTTACACTGACGGAATTATATCTACATATAATGTTGCAGACAACATTTCCTGGGTCTCTCCTTAGACTATAAGTCCAGAAGATGTAGGAGCAGAAGTAACTGTATATTCCATCAGGTCTGCTCTGTCATTTAATGAGATCATGGCTAATCTGATAATCCTCAACTTCTTTTCCTGCATTTTCCCTACAACTCTTGATACCCATTCCCATCTTAGCCTTGATTTTTTTCTTTCTTTTAGTTCATTCACAGAATGTGGCCATTATTGGTATCAGCTGACTGAACCTGCTCGAGTGCCACCAATTCTAGTACATCTTTCTTTAGATAAGAGACCCAAAACTGCTCACAGTCTTCCAGCTGTGCTCGTGCTTTGTTTAGTTTTAGCAAAATCTCCCTAACGTTTACATTCCATTCTCTTTAAAATAAAGGCCAACATCACATTTGCCTTCTCTCTTATCCACTAAACATGGATGTTAGCCTTTTGTGATTCAGGGATGAGGACTCCTAAATCCCTCTGTTCAGTAGCTTTCTGCAGTCTTTCTCCATTTAAATAATATTCAACTCGTCTATTCTTCCTGCCAAAGTGCATAACCTCACGTCTTCCCAATCATATTCCATCTGCCACGCTTTTGCCCAAATACTTAACCTTTCTATGTTTTCTTTTATTCATTAAGGGGATGAGAGCATCACTGGCTAGGCAACATTTATTGCCCATCCTTAGTTCAGAGTCAACCACATTGCTGTGGGTTTGGAGTCACATGTAGGCCAGACCAGGTAAGGATGGCAGTTTCCTTCCCCAAAGGACGTTAGTGAACCAGATGGGTTTTTCCAACAATTGACAATGGATTCATGGTTATCAGTAGATCCTTAATTTCAGATATTTTTATTGAATTCAAATTCCACCATCTGCCGTGACAGGATTCAAACCCGGGTGCCCAGAACGTTATCTGGGTCTCTGGATCAACAGTCCAGCGAAAATACCATCAGGCCATCCCTCCGCAGATTCTTTGTGTCATTCTCACCACTGGCCTTTCCACTTTTTTTTTATGCCATCCTCAAATTTGGCTCTGGAACACTCACTTTCTTCTTTATCCTAACTCTGTTTTTCATTAGTTAGCCAATTCTCTGTCGTACTACCTCCAACACCAGGGCTGTTATTTTATTAACTGGCCTAATGTATAGTACCTTATCAAACACATTCTGAAAATCTAGATATATTGCATCCACTGCTTCCCCTTTATCTATCCTGCTTGTTACTTTTCAAAGAATTCTAGTAAATTTGTCAGGCATGATTTCCCCTTCATGAAATCATGCTGATCCTGCTTGATCATATTCTGTATTTCTAAATTCTCAGCTATTTCATCCTTTATCTAACATTTTCTCAAATGTTAAGCTAACTGGCCTATAGCTACTTGTCTTTTTTTGTCTCCTTCCCTTTTTAATAAAGGTGTTACATTGGCAGTTTTTCAGTTCTCTAGGACCTTTCCAGAATTTAAGGGCTCCTGGACATGTGCACTCCAGAACTTGCTGTACTCTTAGCCAAGCTACGACACTTCTGTCTACTTGACAATGTAGAACATTGCCCGTAGATGTTCGCACAATGCAGGACATATCCAAACCAACCCCAGTCTTTTCTTGATTGGAACTCTTTTTGCTGGTTGGAGTCATATCAAACACCGAGGAAGCTAGCCACCTCAGCTCCGGAACATAACTGCAGCAATTCTGCAGTGGTGGATATTATCTAATCAACTTGTTTATCCTTCCCTCAGGGCATTGTGGATGCATCTACACCAAATGGACTGGAGCAGTTCAAGGAGGCAGCTCACCACCTCCTCAATAGCAAATAGGTATTGGCAATAAATGTTGGCCCAGCCATCAAAACTCACATCCCAATAAATGAGCTGGTTGTTTTCTATTTTCTATTTCAGTTTTACCCCTTCACTATCTGTCTTATGGTTAGTGTCCCTCCTGTTGACTGCACTAAGGTGTGGCCTGTACAAACGCCATTCAGGTTTTACAGTATTTGAAGACTGAATCTGAACTGAAAGGAATAAACTATTGTCAATAACAGTTCAAACAAATTGAAATGCAAAAATCTTTGTATTTGTTAAAACCTTGTTACACAGGTCAAGAGCATCTTGTTTTCTTTGATTTATTTTTGAACTTGTATTTTATTTAAAAGATACTTGTGCACATATTTTCTGTTTCTTCAGTATATTCACTTGTTATCTTCTTTTTAAAGGAATACAAGTACAATTGTAGGGCATTTAGCTCCATATATCTTCTTCCCAATATCTTTTAAAGATATGTTCCCACCTCTTTTAAAGATTTCTCAAAATAATTTGTAAGACTAACAGTTAATCTAGCATCAATTGCCATTTGTAGAAGAGAGCTTCACCTTCTTTCAGCCTTTGTGTGAAGATATGTTTCCTAATTTTATTCCTGAAAGAGCAGGATCAAATTTCCTGATTCTTTAACTTCTTGCGCTACTGAGATGAAATCAATCCTGAATCTTCTAGTTTTGACGGAATGAAGTTCTTGTTTGTTTACCGTCTTGTATCTTAACTTTTGTGTTCTGGTTTCCACTTAGGGTATGCTGTCGTCCACCTATATCCTTCCTAAGGTGTGGTTCTTAGAACCTACAGTTCTTCAGCATAGCTTCTTCCTGCTCTCTCTCTCCTGCCCCCACCCCCCAGCCCCAACAGTGTATTCTAGTGTCTTTGATTTTTAAGGAATAAAATGAATAGTTGAAGGAACAACAAGGAGCCTTTAGGGACCTCATCAGACACATCTCGACAATTAAATCTACCTGCCCAAAACCCCAATCTTCTGCTTCCTTCGGCTTAGCTTTTTCCTAGCCAGATCAATAACATTTCTTAAGTACTCTAACCTTCAACTTTAGATTTTTTGAAGGCCTTTATCAAATTCATTTTGGAAATTCATGTACACAACATCCATAGACACTCCCTGTCTACTATTTTAGTCATCTGTTCCAAAAATTCAATTTGGTATGTCAGACATGGTATTCTTATATAAATTCAATTATACCTACTCTTGTACTCAAAATGCAGGTACACCCCTTAGTCCTCCTCCAATGCTGCTCAATGTCATTATTATCCATTTCCGGTTCAGAAACTTGCATGCTGTTCTATG